TATCCCGAATGACTTCTTGAAAATGTACTAGTTAAGGTAAATGGGATAATTTTTCGATAGATTTCTATGTCATCGATATGGAAAACGACCAAACCGAAAATTCCTCTAAAATCTTTCTTGGTTGTCCCTTCCTATGTACAGGACACACCAAAATCGACATGAGAAGTGGAACTCTTACTATAGAGTTCCACGGTGAATTGGTAAAATTTTGACATTTATAAGGTGATGAAGCATGCTGACTCTGTGGCTAATGTTAGCTTTGTTGATATTATTAAACATTCTGTGAATGAATATGTTGAACATAATCTTTTTGAAGAGTTGTACAAGAAATTGAAGGTTGGAATTGATATCACTTCTAACGAGGACTTGTAGACATCTAGAGAAGAGCTAAGTAAGAATTTAAATTTGATGCCTTATCAATCTAAATTTTTCATCTATTTTTCAGGTATTAAAGTTGGAATTAAAGTCGCTTCCGAAATATTTAAAGAACACATTTTTTAGTGAAGTAGATAATTTATCGATTTTGGATAAACTTCTAAAGTTGAAAAAAATCCAAAGAAAGGTCTATGAGAATGACATAATCTACAAGGATAAAATGAAAGAACTTAATATGTGAAGTGGAGGAAGCATCTCTCTCGAAATATGAGTCTGAACTAGGTCGTCGAGCTAAACGACGTTAAACAAAAGTGCTCTAATGGGAGGTAACCCATTTTCGTTATTTTTGTTTATTTAATTTATTTTCTATTTAATTTATTTATTTATTAATATTTTATTTTTAGGAACACCAGGGAAACCGTGAAATTGTCAAAGATCGAATATGACATCAATTCAACTAAAGAATTTTAACATTGATACATTATTCGCCTGAGTACCTCTCATCGAGGTCGCGACCGCGGTCGTCACTAAACACGGGGAGTACATCTATTCTTTCTCTTATTCTTTAATTTATATATTGGGACAATATGCTTTAAGTCGGAGGGGTAGAAAACTTAAAGAACACTTGCATCGAATTATCTCTCGCTTATTAACATGCTTAAATTGAGTTGCCATGGTTGATTTATTGACATCTCTTGTTATTAATCTTGAATCTTTCTCTGTTTCACTGATTACCTTATGATTTTGTGATCACATTTTTATTGGATTTAGGGTGCATGATAGTAAAAATGCATGATTAATATTTTTCCTTAAAATTTTTCTTTATGTTCCATGGGTTCATTGGTTGATATGTTTCACGATTCAATACACAAAACACATTATTGTGAGATTTGAGCCTAAATGAGCATACCTTTTCATTCTTGCTCATTTGGTTGATTCAGTGTGCCAGATTGATTTTTACATTCTAGAACATGTGATTTAATGCATATCGAGACCACATGTTGAAACTTGATGCTTTAAGATGATTAGGGAACTTAGGATTAACCTACTTCTCTACCCAAATTACCTTCCATTTATATTCACTAGTGATCCAACTTTGAGTCTTTACCTTTTTCTTTGATTTTACCACATTATAAAACTTGAAGCCTTTCAGTCTTTATTTTTTCCTTTCTTGGTACCCTTGTCGAGACAGGAGATAGATTTATTCCACGAATGAAAAATCAAGAGAAGAAAGAAGAAGCATTTTTAGAAAAAATCTGGATCGAACAAAAATTTAGAACATAATAAAAACATGTAGGAAAATCAAACAAAGAAAAGGAAAGAAAAAGGAAAAATGTGATTGTTTGGTTACACTTATTCGAGTGTGTTAACTTTGTTGAATTCATGGCTTATATATATAGCATCTATTGTCTTGACACTTAAACCCATTTGTTCGACCTTATCCCCACCTTAACCTAAGCCCTGTTACAACCTTATTAAAGACCATTTGACTAAATGTATCTTATTTGAATAAGTGGTGGAGACTTGATTTTCTTATAAGCCTATGTTAATGTCTTTATTAATCTAGGCTTTGAGCGATAATGAGTGAATCCTTGTGAGATATTGAATTTTGTTACATTGAAATTGATGAATAATTGAGATATCTTGCCTTTTACTTAAACTTGTTACTAATTGTGCTTATTTGATTAATTGTCACCTTGTTTCGAATGATTTATGTGATTATTGACTTGTTTGGTTTTCCTTGGTATACTGTGAGATGATAGATTGATAATTTGAGATTTTAATAATTAATCAAGGCATGCTTGAGGACAAGCATTTAATAAGAGAAGGGGAATTTGATGTTGTTTTATTTGGTTAATATTTTATTATTAATTAAATCGTGTTACCCCTTTTACAGTGCTAATTTAGGTTTATTGTGTTAGATATCACACATGACTCTATTTTCCATAAAATAAAAATTAAAGGGTGAATTAAAGAAGATTTATCCCATTTATCTGGGAGTAGTCGACGCCTACTGACGCCAACTCAGACTGAGAGACCAAGTAGGCGCCAAGTTCCATTAAATAATCCAAGTAGCATGATCAAAGGAGAAAAGTAAGGTGAACCACAATTCTTTAGGAATCAAACATTGTAATTAAATTCAAATATTTTTAGATTTTATTAATTAAGATTTTAGTTTGCTACGGATCTTAATTAGAATTTTCATTTTTATTTATTAAGGATTTTTAGTTGGCTATTACTTAGGAATTTAAGTACTTTAATAATCTTAAGATTATTATTAGGATTTTATTTTGTTTAAATATTTTTATTTTCTTTAGGTTTTCTCAATCTATAAATACCCATCAGGGTGAAACTTGATAGATGTACAAGTTCAAAATTCAGTATAGAACTGATTTTGGCTTTTAGGTTTTTAGTTCAATAAAATTAATTTTCGTTTTCATCTTTTCTCTCTTCCACATGCCAAGTATGAATTCTATCATACTTGGCTAAACTTTTTCTTAGCTGATAGTTGAGCTATGATTCAATCCGATCTCCTGAGAATTGCAAAAACTCTTAATATCTTCATATTCTTTCTTAATTTTTGGCGTACAAGGAGAGGCAATCGGCCTTTTCTTTATACATCTCAATACCTTCAATCCAAAGAGTGCACATTGGCTTGATCGAAGTTGTGATCTACAGTTGGGGAGGATAGTCGGCTTGTAGCAAATTCAATTCCTTAAGAACAAACCTAGCGGCGGTCCATTAAGGGAAATCAAGATCGGGTTCGATTCTCATCAAGATGCTATAATCCGAGCACGGACTTTTCCAACACTAAAGAAAGAATTAGCGTTAACATCGATAGCCGTTGTTAATTCAAACAAGAATTAAATTTCAAAGATTTCCTATGGGAATTAATTCACCTGAGAGAAGAGTAAGTTATAAAGGCTGGGCCTTGTAGATTGTAACCGGCAAGCATCTGAAGTAAAACCTGTTTCAGTGACCGAGATGGATCGAGACAAAGTGAAGCTTAAGGCTATCCATCTTCATAATTAATTTATCTACAATTTACTTTTCTTAATTTTGTTCCTTTAATTTTATTTTATTTAGTTTATTTGATTATTTTAAACCCCTCTTTTTAATTATTTTTTTACAACTTTCTTAGTTCAGGATCAAATCAAATTAGAATTAGAAATTTCTGAATCTTATAGACTGGCACCCTTCTTCCCTATTATGCATTTTTAGCATAATTATTTAAGAAAAAAAATATTAATTATTTGACAATTACGACGCTTGTCACCCAATCCTTGTAATTTACTCTTCTCTATGATGAACTAATTTTCCAAAGCCATTCCTTGGAATTTAGCCTTGTTTGGATTAATCACAGCTATCGAAGTTAACGCCAATGCTATCTTCAATGCTGGAAAAGCCCGTGCTCAGCTTCTAGGGAAAGAAACACCTCTGATATTAGCGTCTAATTAAAGATAAAACTCTGCAAGTTAAAGATCACAAACTCTTCGTCGATACTTTGTCCCTTTCTGAGAGAACAACAACACAAAAATTTCATTCACGGAAGTATGTTCAAAATTGAATACCCAATCGATTACGTTCAAGTTTCAAATATCTTCGATAATTACCCCCTCGAGATGTAAATATACGTCACCAACATCAATAAACTACAATACCATCCAAGCATCCACCTCACACTCTATATCCATTATCCCATTTAATCTATACTCAAATCTCATGTAGTTCCAAGTATTGCATTGGTTAATTTCAAGTCCACCCATTCTTATATTCTTAAATGAGGTCAAAGATAAGGTTTTAATTTTACTACTGATATATTAATTTCATCAACTAGATCACTTAACTTTGTAAATAATATCAATCAAGACATTAACATTTAATGAAGAAACTAGCATGACTCGAAAAAATGATATAACTACATATTTAATTATTGTTACTTGCATATTCTATCAAATTGATCTTAATTTTAATTTAATAAATTTAAAACTAATCAAATGGACTGAAGAATTTTTATTTTTATTTTAAATTCAATTAATTTAATAAAAAATTTCATCCAACCGCATTGAAAAAATACCTCTAATCCATTATCTATTTGATTAGAAAACTAAAATTATTGAATTAATTTAAAATTAAAATCAAATTAATAAACTATGTAAGTAACGATATCAAATGTATAATAATATCAATTTTTTAACTGCCGGCAGATAAATTGATGCATTAAATAAATTAATTGACAAAACTAATAGAACGGTGATCAAATTAAAACATCATTATTAAGTGATCATTCATGTAATTTACCCTTAAAAAAACTTGTTCTCTCCTCAGAAAAGGCCAATGGCGCTTTAATCATGCATTCTTGTGACTCACTCTTGTGTTTCCCCGAGTTGCGTACGCATCATTTTGTATCAACATGCATCGCAGATAACAATTGTTTACATTAAGATCAATCTATGCATTAATTTTTCCCTATTCAAGGATTCCTAAATCCTAGTTGGTGAAAAAGTATGGGCTTGAAGCAAAGCTACACTAAATGTTTAACCAACCAATCCACACTGATACCATTCCCTTATTTATAAGAGGTAGGGCCGAAAGATATGCAGATAAGAATACGAAACCTGATCTCAACAAAGACTAAAACGTAAATCATTTACCCCTGTCCAACGGCTACTGGACCATTATTATTAAGCATCAAGTGTCGGCATACTGGATGGATATAACTATCTTCACAAATAAGCCAACCTTGAAACAACTTCCTAGTTGAGGTTCTTAGTTTCCTCCTTATCAACAGAAACATAAGTTCAAACAAAACAATTTTCAGCATGTTGCCTGATAAAACAATTTGACCAGGTAAACATGCATATCATCTTTCAGTCCACCAGATCAGATTAAAAACTCATCACAATTGTGTTCAAAAGATTATAATGGAAAAAAAGGAAGAAAGATCCCTACAAAGAAGCCTAAGATGGAGATCACATCAGATAGAACATGATAGAAGTGTTCACCCAAAAAGTAAGACTCAAGATCCCACCGGATGTTGTAAAGCAGTGAAGTTAATTGCAGGCAAAGATTGCCAGGATAAATTATTTTTTAGTTTTCTTCTTTCTCTTAGAGGAAGGCTTCTTGGTTTGCAGTTCAGGCTCCGGAGGGCTTTCTAATTGGTCAGTTCGAGGTTCTTCAGGCAGCGTACAATGCAAAAATTTCTTGTTAGAACCAACTTTGTTGCAGAACAATTTTAACAATTTTCTTCCCCTCATCCATTTCAGCATTATCTTCATGTGTGTTCTGCTGTTTAATCCACAAATACCAGCTTCCTGTTGTTAGAATGAAGAGCGTCAAAGTTAGAAACAAGAAGCTTGTACCAATACACAAAATAAGCAATTAAGCATAGCCTTCTATTCTCTCCTTATTCGGAAAGCTTTTCCCTGCTTTCATTGAAACATTAAGTCTGACACAATAAATGCAATGCAATGCAGAATCTTTGTAAACCAGTACAATTAATACCTAAGTAGAAACCATTAACTAGAGCATGATATCCAAATGAAAACAACTGCTTATAATATATGCAGTACTGTAATGTATCATGAAAATTCAACTATTTTGATTGGCATTGCAGCATACATTTAGTAAACCATTGCTGGATGTACAAAGCAATAATGGAAATTGACTATGTAAAGGGTTGACACTGTTTCTACCAGAAGATATTGATAATTACCCTCCCTTTGCACATGCCTTATGCTTAAAGATTCAGATATAACTCGTGTTCAAAAGGATAGAACACCAAATTAGAGCTAAAAAGAAAATGAAATTACAGCATTATCAGTGTAGCTACTGTAAAAAAAAAATGCCAAGGCAATCAATTCGATTCACCAGAAACAAAATGCAACTAACTTACAAGGAGATAGTGAGAAAATGAATTCAGTGATCTAATCTAGTGTTGGTAATAATCAATTATTAACAAATTAAAGCGGTTTTTGCCTCTTTAATTTCAGCATCCACTGTAATTGTAAATACACGATTCTATAAAAAAACCAGCTTTTAATTTCATAAAGTAAACCGACAAGACAGTATATTATATCAAAGAAAGAAACAAATGCACGATGAAATGGAAAGCAAAGCTAAGACCTTCTGCAGCTAATAGAATCAAGTAATCGGAAAAAATAAAGTTGAAATGATGCAAATTAGTGAAGGAGATGAGAATTATTTGAAATGATAATCACAAAAATACAATCAACAACAAGAAGAAAGAAAACCTGGGCGGCGGTCCAAGTGCTGGGAACGGTGAGAGGGCCACGTTGCTTGATGAGGTCGTAAAGGGAACCGGCGATGGATTTAGCTTCTTGAATAGGTACCTTTGGGTTAATCTTTCTCACATTCACTGCCCTACTCCTTGACATGTATCGGACCAACATATTCCCACCAACGCCGGCATTCCCTCCCTTTATGTTGTGCTTCACCAACCCTGCTAACCACATCTTCCCTTATCTTTCAAAGGCCAAAGCCTTCTTCCCCTCTAATCTTCAATTCTGCTTCCCCAATTCGATTTTAGGGTTTTAGGAAACTCGAGTAGGAGAGGGCGAGTGTTGTCACTTGGGACTACTGGGCCAGTTTTATCCCTTTTGGGGTTAATTGAAACGGGCTTTAAAACTTCAAAATCTTCTACAAACAATTGTGGGTTAATAATATTTACAAGCACTTTTGTTTCAAAAAATGATTTTAACCTTAAAAATAATATTTTTTTAATAGTTTAGAGATTATAAAGTAAAATTTATTTATCTTTAATTAATTGACAATATATATAATTGTTCGAATCGAAAACTTTTTAAGAAAAATGACATTCCCTATAAATAATGTTAAACGTTGATTTTTAGTGAGAAATATTTTTTCACAATTCAACAGTGTAAAAAGAGAAATTAGAAAATTTAACTTTTAGCTTTTTAAAATCACATGCCGTTGTAAATGGATAGAAACGAATCAAATTGTATTTATGTTTAATTATTTATTTTAGAAGGTGTTTATGTTCGATTAGTATATGTTTAAATTTTTTATTATCATATTCACATTTATTTATCTTTAAAAGTATTCATGTTTGATTCGTTGAACATTCGCAAATATATTCCTGAAGACCTGGGTTAGAGTACCATAGATACTAAGTATGTGAGCATTCAATGTCGAAAGATTAAGAGTTATATTTGAACATATATTACCTTATATTTACTCCATATTAATTAAAAAAAACAACATTTGTCAACCAACACCCTCTCTTTATCTTTTTATTTGTAAACCAAAGAAAAATGGAGAAACTACATCTCTAGTCCTTAATTTTCTTAATCTTCATAATTTAAACTCTAATGTTCATCGTAAAAAAACAGTTTGTAGTGCGTTGGTAATTGTCAGGTCAAAATCTTTCGTAAAAAAACAGTTTTTTTTGTCTAATTTCTCAACTTTATGAATGTTCCGGATGTCTTGAACATGTTTGTTTTAATGACGCAATGAAAATGTACTTCAAAGATTGATTGGAAGCCAGCAATGGCTGAAACAAGCAGGTGATTCTCATCTCAAATCTGGAAAGCTTCATTGACCTCGCCCCCAATGGTAATCGGTCCATATCATTAATGCAAACTTTTATTTTATTTTTTCTAATTGGCCCTTGTTTTTACCTCCGAAATTTATTAACTCTTACCAATAAAGACTCTGGACTAACCCCTATGCTCACTGGAATCTTTAAGGAGCCTACACCCTTGGGGTACAAGTCTACGAGTAAATTATAAGTCATAGATAAGAGTCAAGACTCCTAAAGGTACATGACCTACAAGGTGAAATCATGGTTTTCAAAATCGGACCGGTCAGCGAACTGGTCGTCCTATCGGTTTATTGGTTCAACCGATCGAATCGATCAGGTCGGTCGGAAGAATCGGATGACGTCATAATTAATTAATTATTTAAAAAATTAAATAAAAATATAATTTTTTTAATAAAAACAGTTTTTTATATTATAAGTCATATTCAAAGCAAGTTATAAGATATATAAGTTAAAAACCATAAAATCAAGTGAAACAAAATGATTCAAATCAATTACAACATAATATTTAAGGTAAAACATATTAAATAATAAATATAATTATATAACTATAATCAAAAAATAAATTTGGGGCTAAAAAATCATAACAAACGATGTTGTTTGGTTTAATTTTTTTTAAATCTCACATGGCTAAGAAACATAGAAGAGCATCACAAAAGTTTAAAGAGTAAAAATATGAAAACAAAACAACCTCACATGACTAAGAAATATATAAGAGCATCCCAACTGACTTCTATAAATAATAGAGGTAATTTGACATTCAAAATCACGGAACCTTTTGGTGAGCACAGAACGAACTATTCTTTCGCTTCAATTGAGCTCGAATTTCAGGCTTCAATAGAACTTCTAATTTTTTTTTGAGTTCGAGCCTTTTTGATTTCAAGTTTCAATATTATATTTCGAGTTCGAGTTGAACTTGATAATTTTTAGCTCGTGAGTTTTTGAGTCGAATTGAGCTTACTTTTAAAGTTTTCGATTTCGAGTCGAGCTTAGCAATACTCGAATTCCACTTGGCTTGTTTAACAAATGACGTCGTTTGATTTATTTTTTTTTTAGAAAAAAAAAACAAAACCTGTTTTCAACCGGTTCACTAGTAGCGGTTTAACCAATGTACAATGAACCGGACCAGACAATCATTTCCGATTAAACCGATCGATCCGATCCGATTTTCAAAACACTCGGTGAAATTCAAGATGTGACAGAGATATCATATAATCTCTCTCTTTTTTTCTTTCTTATGGCTCATTCTCTCTCATATAGAAATATTGATTGAGACTTCGTTTAAGCCCAAAAAGAATGAGTCGTCAACTACTTATGAAACCAAATTTATTTCTGTAGGCAGTCCTGAATTTTTCACATCTTTAAAATTTCATAAGAGATTCCCAACCCCATGGCCTGCTTATGTTTTTGTTACAAATAATTAATTTTTTCTGATTTTAATGAGTTTTCTTGTTGAGGATTTCAATGATTAAAATAATGTTGATGTAATTGTCAACAGTATTGAGAAGTGGCTTTTTGACACTACTCTGTTGGTTGCATCTTCATTTACTTGGTAATCGACAAGGTAATCAATGATATGTAGGACGAAATATCAACTTATTTTAGATAGTATTTTATTGGTTGATATTTCATAAGATTAAAGAAATTATGGTTATTAACATGAATTCAAATTTGAGGGTGTTAGCTTTTTGAGAGCGGAAAAAACAACTAAAGCAATATAAACTTAAATAAGACATATACAAGAGATAATATTTAACGTGATTTGACGTTGCCTACCTCCACGAGCGATATGAATATGTAACACCTAAATCTGATCCGACCCAAAATTCAAAGGATTTGAATATTACACGGAACCACCGGAGTGGCTAATCATTTTTTTAAATCAATAATATTGTAAATCATCCATCACATTGACATCATAATATAACAATAAGTTTAAAATATAAATTCATACAATTTACAAAATGTGGAGCTCCCAACAGTATATCTCAAAATACAAGAGTTTATCATAATAGAGTTTGACTCAAATACATATAAAAGATTTATTAGAATACATGCACACTAAAATTCTCGAGACAAACTATGATACTCAATCAAGTATGATCTACGGTATGATGATGAGCTCCTCGAATCGGTGCCTAAGAACCTACGCACATAAATAAATTCGAACGTTGAGCTCACGAGCTCAATGCCACGCAAATAACACTATTATACTATATGCATTCACCAAATGAGCATGTTATAGGTATATTCATGGCCAATAGTGCATCAAACACACAACATGGGTAAGCATCAAGGTGTAGCTTGGGGTCACATAGCATCGCGAAACTCACACCACTCTTTTTCTTACCAAGGTACTCTGGGTAAGACTTGAGTCACGTAGCATCAACGTCTTACGACCAAATGGCACTGATTGTCAAGTACCTATGGCGAGATTTAGGTCACATAGCATCAACATCTTGCCTTGTTAGTACACTCCTCTTGAGTATACGAGACGTGTTCGGGTCACAAAACATCAGTGCAACGTCCAACTAGCTCTTAAAGTGATCTTGCACTCTATTAGATATATCCAGGTATTCCTTAACCTTATTAGACGATCTTCACATACATGTAACATAAGTGTCCTTGTAATTTCCCAAGCGTCACACGAAGGAATAAATCTTATGGAATCTCACTTCATAATGTTTTTATGGTTATCACACAATTCATTTAATGTTCTCACATGTAGGTTTATGGATTGGGTTCTTAACCCTTAGTATCTCTCTTGAATCATTTTAAAGATTTAATATTTTTAGCCTTGATTTCACATAGAAGTATCGGTACCTTCCATAGGGTATCGACACAGTCGTCAATTTCTACGTTTTGGAAGTCCTCAGTAGTATCAATACCCTCATACAGAATATCGATACTTCTCTTTAGTGGTATCGGCATTACCTTGACTATCGGTACCAAATTTGCATTCGATGTTTATGAAAATACCCTAGTATCGATACCCCTATTTAGAATATTAATACCACATTTTCTTATAGTATTAGTATTGCCCTAGTACTGGTACTAGTTCTAGATACTGGAATTTAAAATTGTCTTTTGATATCGATATTGAACCCCGAGTATTGATACCCAATGAAAAATATCGATATCGAACCCAGAGTATTGATACCCAATGAAAAATATCGATACCCCAAGAACAAGGTGTCGATACTATTTAGCCAAAAACCCCTTTATTTTGGCCTATTTTAATAACAATATCGACATTGTTCATCTAGTATCGGTACTATCACCTAAAAATACCCTGTTTTGATATGAGAATTCACTCTTACTCATACCCAATGCCCTCTCAAGGCCCTTAGACATTATTAAAAGCTTATTTAGGTTCAATGGGTCATAAAAGGTCATTTTTTATGCATGAAAAACATTAAAATACCTCATCCCTTCCATAACATAAATGCACCCAACATGCTTCATGAAATCATACATGCAACCAAACTACACATGTTGATCTACAAGCATTATATTGGTGTTAGAGGTGCATTACCTTACTACTATCTAAAGAGAAAACCACTACAAATCACTCATGCACTAGTTCTTCATTTCCTTTGCTTTTGGAGCCTTCACCCACCTCTTTCACTAATCAACAACCAAGGGAAATGAGTTATTAACTCATCTAAAGGCTTAAAAAGGAGTAAGAATATTATTTCTAAGGGTTAGAAACGATTAGAGCCACTTTTAAGCTCTAGAACACAAAGCTCTTCTAAAACTCACAATATGGACACCATAGGCAAACCCTAAGGTTAAGAGCTTAAAAAGAAGCTCTAGGGAAGTTGATTACACTTATTATCTTTGGATTTACGGACTAATGATAGAGGATAACAACGAAACACCCCATATACGGTCACGAAGAACAACCCGAGTACCTCAGTGTACATTAAAATCTAAACTTGTCAGACAAAACATAAACCCTAAAATGTATACTA